ATCTATCTCCTCCATGGCCCGATCCCCATCCCCTAGCCCAAGGGCTACAAAAACAACAAGCAGAGCGCCATCCCTCGCCGACATGCCCATTCTATCATCTTCAGCTGCCTCTTCACCGGCACTGCACCCTACAACAACCTCACCTCCAGACGACGACGGCGAACTCAGTACTCTACCCGATCCGCGTAGCCGAGCTATGAGCCCTGCGAGCGAGGCCGAGACCGCCCGTCATCCCGATCTAAACGACGAAGTTGCCACTCTAAGCGCCAAGTTGATTAACGCCATTAACCACCAAACAACACTTGATGACACACTATCTGCCACACGGCAGGAGCTGGAAAGAGCGCGCGAAAAAATCAAACATTTGGAGGAGCAGAATGAATCTCAAAGGGAAATGCTGGCTGGCGATATTTGGATTCGCCGGAAGACTGCAGAGGATGAGAAGAAGACAATCATGCTCCGTGTTACGCAGGAGAAGAAGCTACGAGAGGACGCCGAAAAGGAGACGAAGAGAATAGAACAAGAGTTGGAGAACTTAACAACGGCCTTGTTTGAGGAGGCTAACAACATGGTGATTTCGGCCAAAGAAGAGGCACGACTAGAGCAGGAAGCCCTTCAAAAGAAAAATGACCACCTGAGGTCTCAACTAGGCGATATGGAGGCCTTGTTGACCTCCCAGCAACAGCAACTTGCCGATCTCAAGCACGTCATGGAGCAAATGACTACGGAGAAGGAAGATGCCACAACAGGCACTGCTCCCTCCTCGCCCGGCTTCAGCAAGCTTGACACCAAGGACGACGAACGCTCGGAAGGCCTTGCCGCCTCACATCTCGTCGATCCGACCTCGCCAACATACCCTACTAGCTTGACACATCTCATCCAGCCAGTTCTTAGGACCGACTTGGGCGCATATGAGGACTTCGTCAATCTCACACGTTTGTCCCGTAATCGCGCAGGAAGCCGTGTGTCATCCGGCTCTTTCAATGGCCTTCAAGGATTAGGTCTTGGCATGGGGGGTAGCACCTCGAGCGCTCATCCCTCCAACGCCTCGACTGCTTCTCTCTCCACAACCGGAACCCCTGCGACGTCATCACCACAGACACCAAACACACCAGCCTCCGTCTCGAGCACAACTTCATCCAACCTGGGCCCACCACCGCCGGCTCTCAAGGAAACAAAGTTCTTCAAACGTGTCTTGGTTGAGGATGTAGAGCCGACGCTCCGACTGGACATTGCCCCGGGACTTTCTTGGCTTGCCCGCCGTAGCGTTTTGAATGCCATGAGTGACGGCTCGATCGTGGTGGAGCCAATTCTTGCCAGTACGCCATTTGCGTCACTCGTCAAACCGCAGTTCTACCCCTGCTCCCTGTGTGGTGATGCACGCAAGGATGAGGAGCACCTGCGAACCTACCGCTTCCGAACCAGCGAGTCTGAAACAGCACAGCGATATCCCCTCTGCAAGTACTGCTTGGGCCGTGTGAGGTCCACCTGCGATTTCCTCAATTTCTTACGCATCCTGAAAGATGGCCACTGGCGAGCGGAGGGCGAGGATGCGGAGAAGGCAGCCTGGGAGGAAAGCGTTCGCCTGCGCGAACAAATGTTCTGGTCTCGCATAGGCGGTGGTGTCGTCCCAGCTAGTCATCCTGCCGCTCCCTCGGATAAGAGTTCCAGAATCAGCCAAGAGAGCGATTCTAGAGATGTCGAACCGGAGGCAATAGTGATGGTGGCGGAAGACCCTGACGACGATGCCACTCCCTTTGCCACTCCTTTAGAGGAGACTGCGACTCCGATGGATAAGGGAGTCTCGCTGGCACGGCCAGAGACGCCCTGCCCGAGTAACCGTACCTCGACACAATCCTTTTCACCCAAGCAAGATGACATCTCAGAGAAGAATGGAGAAAAACGTCTCTCCATCAACATTCCTAGCCCCGAGGCACAACAGCCTGTGACAACAGCTTCAGACGAAGCGTAGTAAACAAGCAGACCCTGATGGATCCAGAGCGCATCCACAGAGGGACTTGACTTGTCAAGTGGAACACCTCAAACCTCGAATTCGTAACACAACATACCCAACTAATTTTTCGATATTGTATTAATTACACTGCATGTCACCGAAGCGCGACCGCTGGGGCTACTAATGATGGCAAAACGGGATGGGGGAAAGGGTTGGCAATCACTGAACGTGAAGTCTAGGGGTGGGCCAAGGCATATATCACTTTTTTTGTTCTGGGAATCGGCGTTTTGGAGAGCAAAAACTGTCCTTTGCGAGAGACTTCTCGACAGTTGCTATCAAAGGAGAGAGTGGACAGAACCAGGCATTCATTAGACAAACCACGGAACAGGAATGGGGCAAAGGCACTAGATCATAACGCCTTTCTGTTAATGCCAAAGACGATGATGCCCTGCGCATAGGATGATTCCTCAAACAAATGTTGTGACCTCGTCACACGTGAAGTCGAAATGTGCTCGGTATGCTCTCGAACCTATCAACATGGACGGACTTGGAAGGTGTTTTCCCCCATTTACGCAATCTTGTACAAGAGACCAACGGATATGACGTGCTGAGCAACAGCTCATTCGAGTCTCAAGGACCCCCTACATTACAGCAAATGAATTTTAGCCCTTTTTTGAAGCCTTTGTATCAGTGGACATGGCATGCCTTCCCTGGCCTTACAAACGAAACAAATGGAAATTTTTTTTGGTAGTTGTTGGCTTTATGACCCCAACCTCCGCCATGCCGCTTCCACCCTCTTCTGCTACATTGGCCAAAAGCAATCTTGCTGGGAAACATGATACACGCGTGGCTCTTTTCCCTCGCAGCCATGGTTGGTATACAATGAGTGAGTGACCTTGGGTCAGATGGAGAGGACGAGAGAAGAGAGAGGTGCAGATCATAACACTTGATCAACTCCAGGAACATACAGCTTCAGCCATACCGTTACAATCCAGTCAAGGCCGCCCGCCACACCATTCAGAGCTCCTCCTGAGCAGTAGCCTCCTTGCCGCCGTCGCTCGCCGGCTTGGCCTTCTTCTGCTCGGCCTCCTTCTGGCCCTGAACGCTCTCGGCAACCTTGGGGCGGCGGAGTCGTCAGCCTTGGCCTTGGTCTCGGGGTCGACGCCCTGAACATCAGGGTGAGGTGGGGCGACGTTGCCGCCTTGCTCTTGACCAAGCTCTTGCGGCCAACCGCCTTCGGGCATCTGTACTTCGTTCCCACTTGCGTCGACGACGCGCGTCCGCGTCTCGTATTTTGTCTTGAATTCGACCTTGCCCTCCAAGGCCTTGACCTGCTCCTCGTCGAGGAGGTTGCCGTTCTGGTCCCGGTACTCGACCTTCTCCTCGCGCGAGAGCACCTTCTGGCCAGGGGCCCCGAGATGGCGGCCTCGTCCTGCTGCTCTTTTGGGGCATCACCGATAGGAATATGTCCCACCTCTCCGCCCATTGGGGCGGCGGGTACCTCAGACTTTGCCGGTGTTGGAGTGGCACCAGAGATAGCAGACTTGTGCGTGAGCAGCGGTGTATACTGAGAGTACTGTAGTGGCAGAAAACGAAGTCAGCGTCAATCTATTACGTTTACACGTCCCAAAATGGTGCTTTGCTGAACCACGTCTCATTTGGTTACAAATCCTGTCCCAGAAGATCAAGTCGACACAGCTCCAACGAACCGTCTACGACAGGCCCTCACAACCCTCTTTCCGGCATGCCTCTACCCGGGATAAAAGCATCAATATTACTTACGTTGTCATGGAAAGCGTTGCAGTCGAAGTCCCATGAGCCAAGGACCTTGATACGGTTGCACTCGGCCTTGGTCCAGGGGTTGCCGTAAGCCAGAGGCGAGAAGAGCACGAAAGCGACAATAGTGAGAGCCAAGAAGGCGACGGCGCTAACGCGGTTGATTACGGGGTTGTTGCGGATGCCACCAAGGGAAATCCGAGCCGTAGCAAAGTCAAATGTTGAGCAGAACGCCATGACCGCAAAGTAAAGGGCCGGGAAGTAGTGGTGGAGGAACAGCTGACGATCCATCAGGTAGAAAGGGAAGTAGTGGAAAGCCCAGCCTAGCACGGCAGTGCCGATCTCGTAGTCGAAGCGCTTGAAGGTGGTGTTGGCATAGTCGTTGCAGTTGCGTTGCCAGCGGAGAGTCGCAATGCCCTTGAAAAGAACGTAGACAACAACTGCAAGGGTGGAGCTCCACCACACGACGGGGTTGCCCAACAGGTAGATCTGACGGTTGTCCCTGCCCCAGAAGTTGATGCCGCGCTTGAGAAGCGGCCATGCGCCAGGACGAGAGTCCCAGGCGTGGGATTCGACCAAGCCGGCGTTGGTCTTCCACATAACCTTCTGGAGCTCCCAAAATTTGCCAAAGAAGCCAGGGTTACGGTAGTTGACCTTTTCAACATTGTCACCGGTCAACTGGGGGTGCTCGTTGTACTCAACATACCACAAGCTGTTGGGAAGCGTGCCTCCTCTAGCGCATGTAACCTCTTGTTGCTCGGAAGCCCACTCAGGGAGCTTGACCTTGTGGGAGAAGAGAACGCAACCAGTCATGACGTGAACCAGTCTAAACTTTGTCTCGATGGTGCGGAGGCGTTCCTTGGAAACAGGGCTGAGCGACTTCTGCTTCACGATCTCGATCTTGAATAGGTCGTTGGCGTCACCCTCGAAGCCCTCATAACCGTATGCAGAAACCTCGTTTTGCCAGTCAGCCTCCGTCACAGGAGGGCGAACGTCGTGAGAGTGCAGGCGGCGGAAGGTGGGCGTGTGGTACAGGCGAACAACATCCCCGTCCTTGATGAAGACGGGCTCGGGAAGGTTGTCCCAAGCCTGAGTTCCGTTGATCTGCTCGCCGTTGATTCCAAGGGGCTGCGTCTGGTTCTCGAGAAGCCAGAGATTGTTCTCGTCCTTGTGGGGGTAAAGGGTGATTTGCTGCTGCTTGCTACCGGTGGGGTACATGAGCGGGTGGGAGTGCAGGTAACCACCCTGAGTGTTGACATGTCTGATACTAACGCGGCTGCCAAAGGCGACGTCCGCCGCGACGTCTTGCATGCCCTTAGAGTTGAGGGTGGACTGGAACTCGGAGCTCATGAAACCGTCACCGTCACCCGGGTTGACCAGGCAGAGGAAGTGGATGGCGAACATGGCCATGTAGAAGCCGACAGGAATAATGATCAGGGCGAAGGCACGAGCCATGAAGTGCTTGGCCCAGAGGCGCGGCGTGACATTCTTGGTGTCTCCAAGAAGAACCCAGAGCTGGACGAGGGTCAAGCTCCCCACCCAGGCAATTGTGAACAGACCTACCCACTTGATGCTGACTGTCGTTCCCAAGCCCAGACCAGTCATCAGCAGCCAGAACCACCAGCTGAGCTGGAAAGCCTTTTCGGGACCTTGTTCATGCTGGTTCGTAAAGGACTGGAAGGAGAGAGCGGTGAAGGCGGTCGCAACCATGAGCGGAGAGTCGAGGAGAATAAGACGGGCTTGGGTAAGAAGGCCGTTCTCTAGCAAGGCGTTAGTAACAGCTCTAGTGTTCGGGAAGACGCGAGTATCGTACCGAAGATGATCAGAGAGGAGCCCATCAGAGCTGTCGTGGTACGACATCCAGTGACCTTTAGGGTAAGGAACATGAGGGGGCCAGGAGGATGCCGCAGACGGCAGGGAACATGCGCATGGCGACGTAAGGGACGCCAGGCTCGATGTAGTCCTTGCCAATCTCCTTGAAGTCGAAATCTCCGTTAAACCCAGCCAACCAACCGGTCAGAGCAATCAGCATCTTGGCCAGGGGCGGGTGGACATCCATGAAGAATCTGCCCTTGATATATTTCGAAGCGAAGCCGCCGAAGCTACGAGAAGACGAGGTCAGAGATGGCGCGCAGCAGAGGGATGTCATTATGGGTGTTCTTACTGGACCTCGTCAAAGACAACACTGGTGGGCTGGTAGATGCGGAATAGGCGAATGATGGCAGCAAGAAAGGTTAAGCCCAGCATGATCTGGTAGTCAGAAACAGGCAGAAGGAAGACATCGTGATCCTCAACCCCGTCGGACTTGTAGCTGTGTTCGCGCTCAGCAAGTGCCTTGCCGTTGATGCCGTTGACGCCATTGGCGCCATTGGCAGGCTTCTCGAGCTTGGGGCTCGGAGAACGAACGGGCTTGACGGCAGCCATCGTGGATGAGGTATCGATCGGGTTGTAGGTGTCGGGCGGGTTTAGTTGGGGTGTGGTAAGGAGCTCGTCCCCTCAACGTCAACGACGACGGCAGCGGCTTGCTGACAGCGACGTCGGACGAGGATGGTGGAGCAGTCGACACCTAGAACAGGTAGGGCGGAGGGTTCCTCGTGTCGGTCGAGTCGCAGAAGGATGAAAAAGAGATCAACGAGAGTCGAGAAGAGAAGGCAAGTATTAAAAAGCCGTCATGAGGTTACGGCAAATGACGGGCGGCGACCTTGATGAATGGCCCCAATGGTGTCGGTAGAAGGGGAAACAGGAAAAAGGAGGATGCCTTTTTCTGAGAGTTGCGAAGGAGGAAGAATGGACCAGGGGGGATGGTGAAAATCGAAGTCAGGACGGTGCAGTCTGGCAACGGAAAGTTTGACCGCGGAAGCTGATGACAGCTGGGGGAAGGCCAGACTGGAAGGGAGGATAAGGGGGTCAGGGTCGAAGTTGTAGCTTAAGTGGCCTCATCCCATGTGGTTTGACAGCCAGCAATTGGTTGAAGCTAGGACTTGGCATGGGACCTGCCTGTCCTCCTCCAGTGATCCCCCCCATCATCCATGAGCCCCCCTCAGACGCCCCCCCTGGCGTCCCTCCACGCCCCCTTCCTTCACACGATTCCCATGATTCACCAAGGTTGGGTCTATTAACGGACAGACGCGCTTAAGGACCCAGGAAATGTACCCAGCCCAGGCACTGCACGAGCAACATTGGAGAACGACAGCCCAGAGTTAGTTACCCTGCCACGTACATGCTGCCTTGAGCCTGTCCAGTCGGCCAGTTAAACAGTCAATACTTCCAGTTCTAGGTATCTTGTCACGTTGCGAATCCAGCCCCAAGGGACGCGTATACTGGGTCGCACCCCACTGATCCGCTCCCCTGGGTGGCTTGCTGTTTTTCCAACCTGAGGGAAGAGAGCACTTTACGCGGTTCAGGGTGGTATTACTACCAAGCACATGTCTACTGTCAGGACATTGCCCATTGGCGTGTGGTAGCAACACGCCCTCGCCCCAAGGCCCCCAACTGTGTGCATGGGATTCTTCCTGTTGAACAAGTGTCCTGTTCAATGGGACAGCTCACTTGAGCTACAGGCAAACCAAATTTTTTTTAAGCTGATGTATTGCTTACTGCTTATCTTAGCGTCTGCGGACTACCCGTGCTTCTCTAGCGCCAAAGTGGATGGCGGGAGACGTGCTGTGGCTGCCATTGTTCGTTGCGCTCAGTCTCAGCAACCGAAAAAAAAAAAGAGAATAAAAATGAAGAAAAGGTCCAGAGTTCAGCTTTCATCCGGATTGGACTGGGCCATCCATGCCCTCCACTATTGATGGACTGTGGCCAGTGCACGCATCGGAGCAATGCGGCTGAAAAAGAGACGGCGTACGTAAGGCAACTCTACCTCACACAAGAACAACCGGGTTTCCCTCCCAATGTGCAACAGAGGAATTCCCGATTCTTCATGCACCACGACGGTGCCATACATTTATCGAGTGTTCATACTGGTGCCTGTTGTTAGACGCCACAGTTGCTTATGCAGCTAACCTCGTGGCAGCTGCCACAGAAGCCACCTCGCTCCAGTGTCTCTGCACCCGAGACGCGGTTAGTGTCTATCTCATGTCCTGCATTTCTTGCCAATGCAGCTTGGAAGCAAACCTACTATGGTATCAGGAGGCCAGAGCTACAGCGGCCTCCCTTCATTCCTGTAATCCTTCTGTTCGTACACTCCCTTGCCTTCCCGCTCATTCCGACATGGTACTTCGAATCAGTTCCCGAGCCCGTCGAGCTTTCGGCCGAGATAAATGACAGATAGTCACCGATAAATGCCACTCTATCCTTCTTCTCTTTGCTCTATTCTCGGCCATTCTTTGAGTCTTTAGGCGGGGAAGATGCGCCGAGGCTTTCGGCTTGCTAGCCTTGAGACGACAACAGCGCTGTAGAAGCCGGCATGGTGAACCAGACTCTACAAATTTGGTCTTCGACGGGGTGCAGTTGAAACAATAACATAATATACACTCTTGAGGTTCAATAGTCCATGACCATGTTGCTTCGAGACCGGTCATCTACCCCCAGAGTCTTGGACCGTGCGTCGCTTCTTCGATGCATAAATAGACTGCTGACTAAGAAATAACCCAGCCAATCCAGGAGTCTGCTCCAGGTTGCCTTAGCGTCCCCGGAAAAGTTAACGAAGGCTGGAGAGCTTTGATCTTCCTCTTCGCCTTCTCGCAAGCTCCACGCGCCGCATCCTGACGACTTCTACCCGACTGCGCGCGCTTTCCAACCAACATGGCCTCAACATCGACCAACGGCGATGCCACTGCTGTGCTAGACGAGCTCAAGCCCCCCGCCGGAGTTGTTCTGCCCCCACGCGAAATCCGAAATGTTCTCGAGAAGACGGCAGGCTACGTCGCGCGAAACGGTCTGATTTTCGAAGACAGGATTCGCGAGAAGGAGCGCTCCAACCCCAAATTTAGCTTCCTGAACAACGCCGATGCCTACCACGCATTCTACCAATGGCGACTCGATGAGATCAAGGCCGGTCGTGGCACTGCCATCGCGGCTGGCCGCGCCAACGAAGCCGCGACGCCTGCCGAACAGAAGCCCAAAGGCCCCCCCAAGCCTCCCGACTTTCAGTTCTCTGCTCGCATGCCCCGAATCAACCAAAAAGATCTCGAAGTCATCCGCCTGACTGCTCTGTTTGTCGCCAAGAATGGCCGCCAGTTTATGACCCAGCTTGCCCAACGCGAGGCCGGCAACCCTCAGTTCCAGTTTCTTATCCCAAACCACACATTCCACAACTTTTTCCAGCACCAGGTAGACCAATACACTGCATTATTGAGGGCCAGTGGACTGGGAGGCGAGGGAGGTAAGCTGGAGCAAGAGCGCATTGCTCATCTTCGGCAGAACATTGATGACAAGTACCACGTCCTGAGTCGCGCAAAGCAACGCGCCGAATACTCGAAATTCCAGGAAATTGAGAAGCAAAAGAAGGAGGAAGAAGACGAGAAGAAGAAGCTGGAATTTGCACGGATCGACTGGAATGACTTTGTGGTTGTCGAGACAATTGTTTTCACCGATGCAGACGAACATGCGAACCTGCCGCCCCCGACGAACCTATCTGAGCTGCAATACGCGTCGCTCGAAGAAAGAAACAAGGCTTCGATCACTAATCTCCGCATCGAGGAGGCTATGCCGACCGACGAAGAGACGACCTATAACGCTTACCCGCAGACCTCCCATTCCCAGACTCTGCCAGTGCACACGGGGTATGCGCCTCAACAGCCGTACCAGGCGCAAGCCCCCGCAGGACACCAATCATACCAGAACGGCCCCTCACAGCGTTCGGCAGAAGAAGAGGAGGAGGAACGGAGGATCCAAGAGAGAACGGAAGCACGTGCACGGGAGCAGCAGGCGCGGGCTGAGGCACGTGGTGGTTCTGCTCCGATGAAGATTAAGGAGAATTATGTCCCGAGGGCGCTCCAGAGGGCGGCCAACAAGCAAAGTGTTCAGATGGCGCTATGTCCAAACTGCAAGCAGCAGATCCCCATGGATGAGCTTGATAACCACATGAGAAGTAAGTCACACGCTGCCCATCTCAAACCAGCCATGGAACCGGGCTAACCATCTTCGCAGTTGAACTTCTGGACCCTCAATGGAAGGATCAAAAAGCAAAAGCAGAGGCAAGATATGCCACGACGAACTTGTCCACGGCGGACGTCGCGAACAACCTGAAGCGCCTGGCAAGCCAGCGAAGTGACGTGTTTGACGGCGTTACCGGCCAGCCTTTATCGGAAGAAGAAGCTTCCCGGCGCAAGAAAGCCGCAATTCACAGCTTTGACGGCAACCCCGAGGGGAAAAGCCAAGCGCACATTAGCCACCTGCACAACCTCAACGTCGAGGAGCAAATCCGAGCTATTCACCAGAGGTTTGCCGACAAGAAGTAGGTTGATATGACGACGGACGACGTCGTAAACGTGGACCACGGTTATTACGTTAGTCATCACCATCCGGTGTCACACACAGCTCGTGCCTGGTTGCGTGGTCCTCCGTGGTCCGTCTGAGCAGGGCGACGGAGGGGCTGCCCGGCTCTCACAGCAGACCGCAGCGGAGACTTGTGTAAATGCATGAACAGAGGCTCGGCTTGGGAGGTGAGAACATGGCGTTTACTGGTTGCTTGCAGTCAAAGGGCTTATTCGATGCTCCAGCTTTCCTCAATCGGCTCGAGGACGCCTCTGCCTCAGTTTGTTGCGATACGGCGGTATATGGTGGCCTAGTGTCAGAGGTGGCCACCGTCGAGAATGAGTCGAGCATGGCGCACTATGGTGGACATCAATTTGCATGGTACGGATATTGTATTTGTATACTGGCGTATGCGAGTCGAATGCGCTGCGGGAACGAAGACGAAGCGCGGAGGAGAACCGTCTGCAATGGACAGACAGCATCGAAGGCTGGGGAGCGGATAATTGGGGATAGAAATAGAAGTCCCAAAGCAACAACTGAAGCGCAATCTTGGTCTTGATTTGCTTCAACTTGATTGTGGGTTTACTCTATGCATGTGCTGAGCAAGTGTAAGCCTGAGGGTTGTAACTTGATCAATCAATTTAATCGCAAAGGAAACAAACGTCAGTCCCGACCGGTCCACTCCCGGCCCCCCCGCCTGCTCGATCGGGGCACTGTTGTCGCTCCTGTTACGAAAGGCGTCCCCACCTCACAGGCAGACGGTGCATCGGCTTATCCTGCCTGGTAACGGCCGAATCAGTCGTCGTCGTTGCGGCTGCGGCCGGGCCTGGGCTGACCACTGGCGATTGCTCCCCCGCAATTCCCTGTTTAACAACGCTGCGTGCTCGCTTTTCTATCGTAATCGGCCGCCTTCGCACCATTTCCCCCACCTCACTTCCCACCTTGACTTTTCACCAAGGCACTTTCACTCGGATTACCACTTCACCACCGCATCGGCATCGCAGCAGTCTACTACGTAGGCTTCCTGCCACCCACATCGCGTACCAGGAAGAGGAGGACTGCCCGGTTAACCAGATCGAAAACACCACCCCGATCCATAACTCGCGCCCGCGCCCACCCAAGTCGACACGCCGTCTCGTGCGTCGACATCCCCCAGCGAACAGATAATTCGACGATTGATCATTTGTCCTCAGGGAAGTCGCCAAAACGGATTCCAGAAGCCAGAACGCCGCTCGCGCGCCCAGCGCTGAGCCCACCTCTCCCATATCCCCGACCGGATCGCAGGCGGGCGGCCAGGCCTCGCCGCGCTTCCATCGGCCCATCATGCAGGCAATGCCGGACAATCGACAGCAGTCGTTTGACGAGATCTACGGCCCGCCCGAGAACTTTCTCGAGATCGAGGTGAGAAGCCCTCAGTAGTCGCTCGTCCGCCGTCCCGGTGTTTCCCTTGTCTCCTAAAAACCCGCTGCTCTCCCCGCCAAAACCTCGCGAGGCCTTCCTAACGCTCTCGTGTCACAGGTCCGCAACCCCCGAACCCATGGCATGGGCCGCAGCATGTACACCGACTACGAGATCGTCTGCCGCACCAACATCCCCGCCTTCAAGCTCCGCGCCTCGAGCGTACGCCGCCGCTACTCCGACTTTGAGTACTTCCGTGACATACTCGAGCGCGAGAGCGCCCGCGTCACCATCCCGCCCCTGCCCGGCAAGGTCTTCACGAACCGCTTCAGCGACGACGTCATCGAGGGCCGCCGCGCCGGCCTCGAGAAGTTCTTGCGCATTGTTGTCGGCCACCCCCTGCTCCAGACAGGCAGCAAGGTCTTGGCCGCCTTCGTTCAAGGTGGGTTTTATCCAGTTTCCCGACATGAGGAAGGCATGGACGGCTGACACGATAGGAAACCAGATCCCAACTGGGACCGTAACGCGTGGTGACTGAAGCTCCGGCTCAGTTTCTCCTCGGCTTCGCGACCACCGAACAAATTGCGTAAACGACCCCCCAGGCACCACCGTATCGATACACAGCTGGAAGCGCTGGCGACGAAGAGCTCCATCTCTTATGAATGATCACCCGGACTGGAGGAGAAGAGCGAGGTTAAAAAACGGAAGGGTGGTTTCATGACGTGGGATGGGTGGGTTGGCGGTTCGGGATGTGTCTTGTTCTCTCACATCCCTCGGCGTGGACTTTTATGAGCTTTGTTTGTTTTTGCTGTTGGTGTTCACCACCTTCCCATAGCTTCTTTTTTTTTATACCTTTCCCCTTGCGCCGAGCACAAAATCCGTCGAGGCGGGCAGCATCAGCATTGCTTTACTCCTCCAAGGGGGGGCTGAGGAGGTTGGCGTTCCAAAATTGAGAAATCATGACCGGTATCCTGCCCGATCCGCGGACCGTGGTGGTTGCCAATCTCTACAATTGTGGGAGTCTGAGGCGCGTGCCATGTCCAGGCGGGCTTTCAAGTCCCTACCCGTCTCTCTCTCTCTCTCTCTCTCTCTCTCTCTCGGGCAAGACGTGGGTTGGTGAGAGGCACAGCCGTGTGGGCAGCGACGTCGAGGCACCTAGACCGAGGCTGTCTGGTCATGCCATGGCGTCTCGCGAGGACGCACGAGGTAATCCAATAAGGCGAACAAGGAAATGTGGGGTTGCTTCTCATCCTACAGTTTGAACGAAATGAGGCAGGCTCGGAGGGTTGGTTCTGAGATCCAAGGGAGGGAGGGGCGGCTACACGACAGCTTGAACTGCAACCGGATGCGTGGCCAGAGGCTGTCTGCAAGCGAAGCTCGTTCCTCACATTGTTGAAGCAGGACAGGGCAGGTCGTCGCATGGTCGATGGACGACGAGGAGTATGGCTTCCTTGCAGAAGAGCAACCGTGGACCCCATGTAGTTGAACCCCCCCTCCCCCGCTTGGGCACGTTGACTTTCCCATCTCTTTTCGCTCGCTTTGCGCCATCCCTTACCGCTTCCTCGCGCAGCGTACCGCGTCTTCCTTCGACCCGGGACGCCGCCGTGACACCCAGGGACGAGCGGCGAGAGAGAAATGGGTTCCTCCATAGGTGACGTGTGGTTTGATTTCTTTTTTGTATATACATTATTATACACAGAGTACGTCCTCGATTTCTTGAGAACATCTCTAGCCCCTCTCAAAGTAGCTGCGGCCATGTGTGATGGTTCTTCTTTTCAACTTTTGTTACATTTTCTTCGCCTTCCCGCGAAACGCCATCTGATGCCTCCCGTCCAAATGACGCAAAAAACTCTCTCGGCTGATCAGGGAAGCCGCTGTTCCTCGGTCGCCCGGCCTGCCTCGGGAGTCATGGGGCCTCTTGATCCTGCCCCCAAGAAACCCAGAAATAAAAAAGTCTAGAGTCGCTTTCGCTCCGTATCGTACATGTAAAAAGGGGTTGGTGATTTTTTTGTTGTTGCTTGCTTTTGGATGCCAATCCCTCTGGAATGTGACATCGAAAGGTGAGAAGGGAAGGATTTGTCAGTATGCGAATCTTGGAGTCAGATTCCCCTTATCCGTCGATCCGTCCGTTTCAGAGCTGCGATGATCGCCGATCGCTGGCCGTAGGGTTCGGGGTCCATATAGTACAAGGAGGTTGTGTTTTTTACATCCAAGAGGTTCAGGTCGTCGACGCTATCGATGAGCCACCCGCCGGCGGTGATGGGAAGTCGTCTGACCGGGTCGTCTTCGTCGTTTTGTTTTGCCCTCCGTCAAAGATGGCAAGGGCCGTTTCCCGAGCACCATGAGAACTACAAGCTTGCGGTGGCCTTGTTGGGGGCACCAAAGATGCGCAGCATGCCCTCGTACATGCCAAACATGATGGCGGCGCTGGGGACGGTGCGCATGAGGTGAGGGGTGAGACCGCCGTAGAGACCCATGAAGCCCTCTTCAACCCATACGACGCGGAAGCACTGCCAGAGCCCGGTGTACTTGAGTTGTCCGTTGGCCAAGGGCGCCTGTCGTAGCCTCGTCCGTGCGACCTGTGTCGATGATGTTAGTCGTCTGTCCCCCACGAGATTTCTAGGCGCACACTTCATACCTCATGAGGATAGGCCAAGATGGCCGCAACCAACTTGGCGCCGCCAGCAGCGCCGGCATTGCCCATCCAATCCACCGTCTGGTCCCAAAACGTCTTTTCCCTTCCGCTCGCAACGATGCGCTCCTCCCTCGCCGCCAGCCTGTTCTTGATCTGCTCGTACAGGACCCACTGCAGCGTGCTCTCGGCGACACCCAGGTAGCTCGCGCTCATGCCCTTGTACAAGCCCTTGAACCCCTCGGTGCGCAGGACCTGTCTGATGCAGTCCACGCTGTTGCGATACTGCCGGTTGTGTAAGCCGCCCTTCTGCTGGGCGACGTTCTTGTCGAGTTGCAGCCGGGTCTTGACGAGCCAAATGGGATTCGTCACCGTGCTCGTTGTGATGCCCGCCAGCACGCCCGCCGATAGGTGGACCCACGCCGCCTCGTTGCCGCCGTTGCCGTACTCGGCGATCAGGCGTTTACCGTTGCCATATGTGTAGAAGTTGATGCTCCTTGCCGGGATGACGCCGACGAGGTTCGGGCCGAGGCCCTTGAACAGCGCGCGGGGACCCTCGATCTTGTAGACGGAACCGAGGATCTGGAACGTTTCCCGGAGGTGGAAGATTGCTGCCCTGAAGGGGCTAAGGGAGCCGACGGCCTGGGCGCGGGCTTGGTGGGAGGCGCGGAGCTGCGCTTGGTAAAAGTCGGATTGGAGGCGAGTCTTGAGAACGTCGAGGGGTGCTGTCAGGGTCGCCGCCGTCATGCCTCCGACACTAGAGAGCAGGAGAGAGTTGTCAGTTTCGGGCCGCAGAGCAAGCTTTTCCTCTAATAGGGGGTGGTCAGAGAGAGGAGCTTCAGGACATACCCTCCAGCGACAAAGTGCACCCATGACTTGGCAAAAGGTGACTCCTTTTCGGCCACGGCCGGGTTCTGTTTTGTGTCGGGGATGATGTCGCCATTCTCCCGGGAGACCGGGTATGAGGTGGTATCCGGGGCGCGGCGCGCGGCCGGCCTGTCGCCTGTTGCAGACATGAACTCGGGGTGGACGGGAGAGTGAGCCATCAGGCGAAAAGTGGCAACGGATGAAGGGGACCAGCTACTTCAGAAATGAATAGCTAGGTACGGATGCGCTGGGATGGGGAATGAGGCCCTGTTCCCACGCAATTTCTATCGGGGAGGCTAAGAGAGCGGCGGTTTGCGACAGATGTCGATGTTGGAAAGGGGGATCGTTACGTCGAGATCATGTCGTGGGAAGTGAGGGAGCGGCTCGTCATGGATGATCATGGGAGAGAGACCTGGGCAACTTTTTTTTCTTCCTTCGATAAGAGAGAACGCGCCACGCCACGACCTCTCAGATTGGACCGTGGTCCACTTTACCCGGCTGGGTAGTCCCTCCCACGCGTGGACCGTGCTTTCTGTGGCTTTCCGCACCTTTGGCCGTTCAGTACGTATCAGCCCCCTGTCAAGCCACCTATGGTTTCGCTGCACTGTGCAAGAGAGCAGCACCAATCCACTAGTGTAATGAAGCATCTATTCGAGGGTACTTGTAATGGTGGGTTGGCCGTGTTGAACGAGCAGATTGCACGCCAGTATATCAAATGGTCACACATGAAATCAGCAAACGTGCGAAATGATCAAGCGGGCTTATTGTGTATCATTATGAGTATTTTTTTCGTCTTGTTTTCCTTGGTCGCACCTCGCAATGCACACACATTTACACATACGCACACTACGCACACATCGCACACGCACTCGATACACTCCTTCGAATCTTGTCTGTCGATCCTTCTCTTGCCAGAGTATGTGCTGCCAAGGCGGTCCCAGCTGTTTTCCGTAACATTCGTCTGCCACAGAAATCGTGTCTGGCTATCGTCCAGACACGTTGCTCGCAGGAGCCGGGTTGGCATCCCGCGCATCAGCAGCTGCTGTCGCTGCCGACGCCATGTGACTGAGCAACAAATCTCTCTTGATACTGGGTAGCTGCTCTCCCCGCTGCGGCTCTGGCATCCATGGCTTCTGGTTCGGGGGCGGAGGCTCGTGCTCCACATCCATGAAACTGCTTGTCCTGCTGCGAGAGCCTGGGTCTAAAGGCGATCGCTGGCGGTGGTCTTGCTGACCTCTGCTGGCTGGCCGGGATATGTCCCCTCCCGGCATAAGGTTGTTGGAGGGTGGTGGCGGTTCGTTGGATCTGCCATCGTCTTGTGTTGGGTCATAACGCAATAGCCTCGCCGGCGCTGGGTGCGCGGGGCTCGGCTCGATGTGTGCCTCGTCGGCACTGCTGCTCGCCTCGCGGTTGAGCCAGGCAATCTCTTCCTCGGTAATGGTTTTCCATCCACACTTGGCGTGCTTCTTGGTGCAGCCCTGGCAGGCCGTCAGATGCTTGATGCATGGCGACTTGAGTCTACGACATCGATCGCAGGGCGGCCAGATTTGATCGCCCTTGTTTAACTTTTCTATCCTTGCCGTGATGATCCCTCGGTGTGCCGATGAAGGGTCGTATGACGAGTCCCGATGCGGTATAACGGGGGCGTGCACGACGGCTGGGCGGCCCTGCAATGGAAGCGAGTGCGGGTGAGGATTCGTCGCAGGCGGCGTGTGTTGCCCAGTAGAGTGTGCGGTCTCGAGACCAGCGCTGGACGGAACCCGAGGAGGGTACGCCTGAGAGGATGATAGAAACTGCTGAAGCAGGTCGGCGTGTAAGTCGTAGCCGGAGCCATGCGGGGCATGGCCCCTGGAATGGTTGACGGATTGGAATGCGGAGCTGCTCCCCTGTTGGCCGCCGTGTCGTGAGTTGATGCCAGCCCTTCGACCGCTCAAGTGGTAGTTCAGTTGACGCGCCCTCTTGGCGATTTCATCGGCCTTCTTGATGAGAACCTGCAGTCGCTGCTCTACGATTTCGAGAGTCGCCACTTCTGCCGTCTCGTCTTCCTCCAGCGGGGCCGTCGACACGCTGGAGAATCTGTCCAACGCGCCATTCATGATGAGGCGCCAATCGTCCTCGAGTATCTGGACCTGCACTCCATTGAGGTAAAACTGGCAGGTGCGCTCGCCATCATGGCCCGTCGTCAAGACAAACTTTTCGGGGTTCGTCTTGGCGAAGGTGACAATGTCCAGCCAGCCCACAGGTGCCGCGCCGTAGACGGGCGGTGGATTGGTGATGATGGGGCCCTCAAAAGCTCCCTCCATGGCCTTCAGCAGACGAGGGCCTGTCAGCTTGGCACCCAGATTGGCTGCAAGACTCTCATGTCTATTGAGAACCCCTGTTGTCGATGTTGAGCTTGACAGTTCATCTGCACGGGTCAAAGAGCGGGAAGCCGTACCTTCATATTGATTCAAAAGGCCAAGTACGTCGGAGAATGTGTCAGGTTCTCCTTGGATCAGCTTGAGCCTGCCGGCGCTGGCTTTAGATAGGTAGTTGATGATGGATGCATTGCCTTTCGAGTTGACAATTAGTATTCGTTCAGTGGAAAAACGAGACGAGATGCAGTGCGAGCGGGTGCGGCCAATGGGGGTAGAATTCCATGGCCGGATGATTTAAGCATTGCCAAGGGGCTTGGAACGAGCCGCGATGCAGATGGAGAGATGCGACTGAGAAAATGGAGATGGAGTAGAGGAGGGAGGGAGAGGGGAGGGGCAATGAGGTAGGTAGGTAGGTAGGTAGGTAGGTAGAAAACAAGGTGCGAGCGGCGCTGGCAGGCAGGCCGGGGCGAGGGATCAATGGCGAGTCTAACCTCGATTGCCTCCGGGCGCGACGACGACAAGATGCAGTTGATGAACGAGATCGACGGCTCATGCTTTTCCGCGCGTGATTTTGCTCTCGCTCTTTCTTCTTGGTTTTGTTGCAAGATATCGGCCTTGGATCACACACACACTGGCGCACCGCACATACCTGACTGAGGCGGAGGAGGCTGGGGAATGCGATCAGAATGAGCAGGCTGCGCGCCGCTGTCGTCTGCGTCCCGTTTCCGTTTATGGGGCTCTTGGGAATCCTGGGCATGCGCCATGGCGAGAATGTCACCGGGGGCGAAGATGGGTGGTCCTACGAGGGCGAGCTGGTTTCTGTCTTGCTGTGGCCCCCTAACTCTCCCCCGTCAAGAAAGACGAAATCGTGGAGTGGTTGGCCGAGGCGTACGTGAGACGTGAAGGCCAAAGAGCCTCGGAGTGTAACAAGAGGGAGTCTGGAATCCAAGAGCTGGTTAGTTCATGGCGAAGCAGCACCTTATGAGGAGGTGGTGGTGGTGGTGGTGGTGGCGGCGGCGGCAACCAGACAGGGCCCGGCAAGGAATGCCTCAGGTAACGGGTAACATGCGGGAATTGGAGCCTGGATGGAGCAAGCTTCGACGGAAAGATGAACGAGAAGCCTTGGTCGTCGAGGGGGGGGGGGGACGAGCAGGGCCGCCGAGCCAAGAAAGACTGGGGGGAGGGGAGGACGAGGGCGAGAAGGGTTGAAATCGGGTTTTGTTTTGGGATTTGTACGGGGTGTACGGAGGACGGTGGACTAGACGAGGGGGCCACAGGACGGGACTGGCTGGAATGGGGCGGGACACGGGAGCCGGGAGACTAAGGTAAGGTAAGGTAGGTAAGGTAAAGAAAGGCAACTTACTGGCGGAGACGTCAGCTGTACGAAGGGGAGCAGAGGTGGAGAGAGAGGGAGGGAGGGAGGGAATAGTAGCGCCGAGAGCTGGGAGAGAATAATAAGAGTGAAGCAGACGGGATGGGATAGGGTGGATGGGGGACTCGGGGAGGAAGACGCAGCGAGGGCCCCGTCCCAGACAGAGAAAGAGCGGGCGGACGGCGGGCGCAGCTGGAGGAGAGGCGAGTTAACAGCGAACTGCCCAATGACAGGGGGCGAGCCGGTTCTGCTGCAAATCCCACCGCCAAAGCTTCAGGCTGGACGCTGCCGAAGGTCCCTGTGCCGGTGTCAGAGGGAGGAACGGCGGACAGTAAGAGAGAGGTTCCCCGGAGAGTTAGAAGAAGAAGAAGAAGAATAAGAATAAGAAGAAGGGGGAGAGTGGGGGAGAGAGAGAGAGAGAGAGAGAGAGAGAGAGAGAGAGAGAGAGAGAGAGAGAGAGAGAGAGAGAGAGAGGGCAAGTCGAGACGAGAGTGTGAGTATGAGTGTGAGGGTGAGGGAGGCCGAGACGATGAAAGTGAGGTGTGAGATGTGTAAGAGAGAATGTGGACGCCGGGAAACGCAGTGCAGTGGATGCACCTCACGAGCTGTGGTGCAGGTTGCAGGCGTCGTGGTGCAGCAAGGGCGGAGAGGGAGTTCCACTAAACGGATGGGGCCGGGGGGGGGTGGGAGGGGACCCGGCGTGCTTTCTCCTTGTTCGTCGGGAGGGAGGGAGCCTAAAAAGCTTGGACTGACGGAATCCGAGGACGTCTAGGTCCAACTCAAAGAGAGGTTTTGTTTTTACGGATGGGATGGTGTAAGTGAGATGGGATGATGAGATGAGGAGGAGGAGGATGAGGACAGGACTCTGTAAAGTGAGTAAACGGGTGAGGTTCACTGGAGAGGCTGCAAAAAGAGATGGATACCACTTCCGGCCGTGACGAGCTGATGCAGGGTAAGGTGATGTGAGGCAAGATAGCTGAGCTACCTAGCTACCTAGCCAGCGCTAGATGTAAACAAGGTACGGGGAGAGTGAGTTGGGAGGTCAGATGAGAGACAGGGTAAGGCGGCGGGATGTGGTGATGATGCACGCACGCATGGACTGGGATGCTCGCCTTTCAAGATGCAGCTCAGACGGTTGGTCAGTAATTACATGGGAGTCTGCTAACGACGCCGACATCCAAAACACCACCACCACCACCACCACCAGAAGAACTCGAAGCGGCAAGATTCAAGGCCCAGCGGGCGGTGGTGGGGGCCACACCACCGGGCTGGTGTGTGGACTGGACTAGACTCGGGGCTGTGTATCCAGGTCTGTCTCTCTTCGCGCCTCTCTCTCCCGTCTGCCTCTGGCCGTCGTTGAAGAAGCCCGGCCGTCTCTGACGGCGCTGTACCTTGGACGCGGCAAGGAGACCCTGGTTGTTGACGGTGCGCGGTTTTTCTCTCGCCCGTCAACGAGAGCTTTTCTTTCTTTTTGATTCTTCCGTTTCGGGCGACCCCGACGACAAAAATGTCGCAGCAGCTTGTCCCAGATGAGGAAGTGGAATATGCAGTAGGACTGTGTAGCCGATGGACAACCGTGATTGTTCCACAAGCTTCGAGGTAATATGTACGGGGGCGTGGCGCGGGGATCCGGCGTATCGAAGAGTCGTTTAAAGGGGAATTGAGCGACTAATACGAGGTAAAATGAAGAGATGCCGTAGCCGTACGTCCTTGGGCCTCTTATGTAAGACTTCGAGACCGACGGCGGCGGCAGCCCTACGAAGGCTTGGAAGCTAGTAGTCCAGCTGCGAGCCGAGAAGGGCAATGAGGAGACCTGGCTCGGCCCCAGGGGGGCGAAACGGGTACCAGGGTGCGGCAGCTCGGCAGCTCCTCTTGTGTGAGCGTGATGGAGGGAGGAAAAGAGATTTGGTGTTGATTGATCTCGAGGCAAACAGATCGATACACTTCACGGGGCTGCGGACGAAACAACAACTACAAAAAAAAACAAAAAAAAACCCCTCTCCTCTGCTGCAAGAAAGGCGCCGGAGAATGGAGAAACCTCCAAGTCGGAACAAGCCAGCAGCAGCAAATAGGTATTACGGTACGAGCGGGGAATGGGGAAGGGGATCCAAAGGACCCAAGAAGGGGGTCCCAGAGAGGACCCGACTCCAACGCCATGCATGCACAGCCCGAATACTGGGGTAACGGAGGCGTCCAGCCAGCCAGTCGGCATTGAGTGTTTTGAGAGGAGAGTCTCTTCCCGCCCGCTCCTCTCACAAGAGGGAGGGAGGGACCGTCGCCAACAACCTTGAGACAAGCCCGCCCTGAATGTGAGACTTTTGCAGTTCACCCACACACCACGCACACGCACACGCACACGCACACGCACACTGACTAAGTAAGCGGAGGAGGAGAAGGAGGTACTTCAGAAAGGTGGTAGAGTTGGCGGGTGGGAAAGCCAGTGTAGATCCTCACCCGCTCACCTACCACGCTGGGACACCCAGAGAGGTTCCTCTCTCACACACTCTCGGACATGGATCGCATCTTTGATCTGACCCCGGAGAACCGCATCCCGACTCTTGTGGATAGCATGCCGACTTACTCTGCCTGCACTTACACCGCATACTGACGGTTGACTCGCCAGCGGCCGAGGATAGAGGGGCGGAGCAAGAGACCCTCTTAGTAAGAGACAGACGGCGGCACCACCAGAGACGACTCGAGCAGGGAATCCGGGCGCCCGCTCGTGTTTGGTGGGAGGATATGGAACCTTTCTAGAAAGGGAGCGGCGCAACGGGGGTGGGAGGAAACACGGAGACCCGACGGTTGGGAAGCTTTGTCTCTTTCGGACGGAGCGGAACGCGAGGAACGCGACCCCCAAACCTACGCCCTCCTTGCTGTTGGTCGTCGACACAGGTACACAGTACAGTGGTTGGTGTTCGATGGGAGCTTGCAAGTATTTCCCTTCCCAAGAATGCCGGGCAAGTACACTTATGGCCAGTCAACGGCCAACGGCGATACCTATCTCTCTCCTCTTCACCTGGGGTGCATGCCACCTTGTCTCGTTTCGGGGGCGACTCAGGCCGTCTTTCGACGGGAAAGGGATGCGATGCTGTCTTTGGAAGCAAGGCATGCCTATCCATCCGTAGGCACAGGCACAGGCACAGGCACATGCATCGCCATGTCTTTGCACTGCACAAAACGACTCCAGCGCCCTTGGATGCAGCAGCAGTTTGCCAGCCAACCTTCCGCCTCACATTTCCGTCACGAAGCTTTCAATTGTATCTATTTGCACATGGCATGTTTCTACCGTGGCCTCGCACTCTGGCCAGCGGCGATCCTCCCTTCCATCCCCTACCTCTCAAACCTCACATGGACAAACCAGAACGTCCCAACTTTAGCAAACCCCCCAAACCTAGGTACAGGTACCCTTTCTTCCGCCCCTGCCCCTCACGCACGTGCGGAACCCGAAGACGCGCTGGGATGCAACGACTTCCGACGCCGATGGGCAAAACAACCACATTATTTTTGGGTCTGTCATGTTTGGAGCCCCGGGCGGCGGCGGCCCCTCCCCGCTTCGACCTCACGATCGTTTGGA